ATTTCAATAACGCATGAGTAAATAGGGATATGAATGCAGATTTAATATAGGCCCATAGAATTACGGGGACCGGCAAGGATTTGGAAAGTCTGAATGCAAGTCCTGCTTACACCTAACAAGTGCTGAAGTGGGACATAACCAGAGGTAGAAAGGTCTCGGAAGCACTTGGGAAGAGGCTTCCCAAGACCTATCCAGTTCTGAACGGAGAGACCTAAGTAGAATTTGTCAGGTCCAATTATTCGACTCGGGGGGGTTTCAATTAACCCCTCAAGTGTACGGCGTCCATGCCACATATATGGATCCGAGAGCTTGCCCTACCGACCGGTGCCCGTATGTCATACACTGAGAGAAAAATATGATTCTTCTGACTATATTCCATCACCGGAAATGAGAGAAATGTAAGAGAGGGTGCATAAATAAAACATGCGGATATTTGAATGATGAGGAGCTCAATCGAATTAGAACGGATGAACGAAATGGGTGATGCCTCGATGACCTAGAACGATATTTGGTGACCATCGAATTATAGTCAAAAAGTCCTCAACAATTTTTCATGGGTTACGGTAACTATGGCCGGAGAAGTAATTACTACAATGGAATGTAGTCATTGCAACTATTTTATAGTTCTCCTCACGATAGATTTGTCGTGATTACTTTTGAACTTTGGTTAGTTTAACTGCATTTTGATTTGCAAAAATTACACTTGTGAAGTTACTATAATGTTATGTGCCGCATATAAAAAAAATCGTATCGTTCACCAAAACTGCCTCAACTATTTTCTTATTGTAAATCGAACTTCAGGTTTTTCTCTCAGTGTATGGACCTTTTCCGTGATTAATAAAAATTCATTATCTCTCGCACTATTGTAGATATATCGAAATTCTAAAAATTTCCCCATGAAATAGATAAAATTATCAACACAATACGACTCGATTTTTTTTCAAATTATTTTTAATATTTTTCTTCAATACATAAACAATACGGAAGAAAGCTCAATCAACTCCAGGGACGCAAATTAGTCTAACATCATTATATTTGGTTTCAAACATGAGAGATTGCTCGAGAACTTCAGCCAACTGATATAATACTTAGTTTTCAAGAGCTTGCGATACTCCAGCCACCCCAACTTTCACCGTGAGATAGAGGCGCCGGATATTGATGGGATAGTAAACATTGCAGTGTCAAAAGGGGAACGCAACCAACCGCGGTCAACAAATTACTAAGAAAGGATGGTTGCTATCCTGTGTAGTTGCCAAGAAAATGCGAAGAACATATTCAAGACCGGTCTAGATTGACCGGGTTGTATTGACGGGAAATTCGCGCGGGAAGCTGATGTTCCTTCAACTTTTACACGGAGAGAGAACAGAATTTTCCATCATTATGCCAAAAGAAACTTTTCTGACGAACATGAGTTTGCAGCACAAACCGAAGGCGCGGGCTATGATCATATTGACGTGTCCTAAAAGGGAAGGCATATCTCAAGATGATTTTAAAACCTCTATCACAAAATTCAAATTCGATAAGATCTACTTCAATTCCGCCCACAAGATCGAGGAGCTAGATGTTGACGGGATAGTAAACATTACAGTGTCAAAAGGGAATGCAACCACCCGCGGTCAACAAGTTGTTAAGGAAGAATGGTCTATACCGAGCTATCCTGCGTAGTTACTAAAAAAATACAAAGAACTTATTTAAGACCGGTCCAAATTTTCCAGGGTTTACATTGATGGGAAATTAGTGCGGGAAGTTGATGATCCTTCAACTTTTACACGGAGAGTGAATATAATTCCTCGTCATTACGCCAAAAGAAACTTTTCACATGACTTTGTAGCACGAACCGAAAGGTGAGGGCTATAATCATATCGGCGTGTCCTAAAAGGAAAGGCATATGTCAAGAGATAGTGAATGATTTAAAAAGCTCTATCTCAGAATACAATTATTGTACAATTCTATCCGGTTTTAGAGTATTGCTCGGAAAAAGTGTGTCATGAAATCAAAGAAGTGCGTCGTTGTTTCTACGAAGCACAAGGAAATATTCCTCCAATTGGAAGTCGATGATGCAGCAAAAAACTTTAGATATTTGGTGAGTTAACCGCATTACATGAGGTATTCTTCTCTACATAGGATGGAATTTACAAAGGGTACATCATACGGAAAACGAAAAGGAGAAATCCACCCCTATTGCCCCATTCTCCACAATTTCCCTCAATTCTTCCACTTTCTTCTTCAGATCCATTACCTGCTTCTCCATCTTATCTTTCTTTTCAGCCAACTGCTGCCTCATCAAGACTCCTGCACAATGGCCGAGTGCTTTACCATTTGCCGATTTCCAGCTTTCTATATTAAGTTGCCATGCGACTCAATGGAAATAACCGAAAACTTATCGCACCCAAAAGAATAATGCCTTATTTTAAGATTTCAGATGTCTTATAATAAGAATTTCAAACGTCTTAATTTGCGGGCTGAAAGTCTCAAGTTGAGAGTGTCGAAAATCTCTTTTTGAGACTTCGGAAGGTCTTAATTTAAGACTTTAGAAGACTTTTAGGTCACATCGATCCATGTTTTCCAGCATTTGATTGTACACCATGGATTCTCGATTTGATCCCTTACGGATTTAATTAGTTGGTAAACAGCAACTTCAAGATTATTTTCTTCTCTTTCAAATGTCGTTCAATGATGATAGTTGTTTAATAGTTTACAATTAAAATGTAATGTCTGCATTCTTGATGTAGAATAAAACATGCATCTGAGGAGGAGCGCCTTGAGCGCTCGAAATGTCGTAGAATTTGATGAGTAAATTCTTGTGATCATTTTGGCAGCTGCTGACCAAAATATGGCCCAAAACCACTTCCAAAAATTGAAAATGAACGGTCGAGAACTTCGCTTTAATTTGAGACTGCAGAAGATTTCATTTAAGCCTTTCGTAGACTCAAGTTTATAGTTTGCATAATTCATGTTAGGACTTTCGCAACTTAACTTGACATTTTTCTTCAAGTGGAGTTCTGAATGTCTCAATTTGAGATCTTTGAAAGCAACAACTTGTTACTTTTAAAAGCTTCAATTGGAAACTTTTGAAAATCTCAATTTCAGATAATATGTCTGAAAATGAAGCTTGTTTTTTCAGGTGCAAAGCCATTCTACCCCCACACCACCGCAAAATGTAAAAAACTAAATTAAGTTCCTACCATAATTACGACCAAACTGTGCAGGAAGTTTCAATTTGTTCAAATACTGGGACGTAAACTGAAACTCTCTCATGCATTTTTCAGAAGTTCCAATATTGGGGAAATGGATAATGTAATGCATTAATTTATTTCTGTTTTATGTCAATGAAACTACATTTATTCCTCCCCATAAGCAATTAATTTATCTCTACATTTTGTGAGTGGGCTCTTATCGTACAGAAAAGGCGAGGACCTATCATAAAAGTAGAAAAAAAATAACAAACACTGGATAATTCAAGTTTTTTTTTGGTCCTGTATCAAATCAAACAACAATTAGAGTAAATAATTATGCAACTGTTTCAGCGCCCTTCAGGGAGAACGTAGGAAGCCAGCTACCTTCACCTTTCAATCTCTGCAATTTAGCGTTATGCAGTAGCACACTGTCAACAATTTGGTCTGCAGAATTTGTCTGGCCGTAGTAATCTACGAACATACCGTCTGGATCGATCAAATAGATGATGATTGTGTGGTCAACCTGTAATAAACACAATTCCATCAATTGTCTCGTGAAATTTCAATGCAAGTTTGATCAACACGTAGAAAAATGGGGGAAAATATTTACGATATAGTCCTCGTCTTGATCTTTGGGTCCATTACTGAAATAAACTCTGTAGGCTTTACACGCTGCAGCCACTTGCTCCACATTACCAGTGAGTCCGATTATTTTCTCTGAGAATTCTTTACAGTACTTGCCAACCACTTCTGGGGTGTCTCTAGTTGGATCTACTGAGATGAATACGGGTTGCGCTTTGAAGTTTTTTTCCTCTAAGTAATGAAGATAAAAGGGTTAACAAAGTTGAAGGATTTTTTTTTCTAATGAAGTTACAATGGATAATTTGTGCACGAAAGCGCGTTGCATGGAAACATCGATTTTTTCATAATATTCAACATCAGAAAAAAAATCATCAATTGAGTTCAGTTGAGACTCATCATAAAGGACAAAAGAGACTTCTCACTCACAAAATTCAATGAGATCTCGACTCTTCGTAGAAAGAGTCGAAAGTTTTCGTCAGAACGTCATTCTGAAGTTCTATAAACTCATCTTGTTCTATAACTCAAATGTTGAATTACGTATTTACGTCAGAATCTAGGGATTGTAGGGGACGATGTCACAAGTCCTCTTTTACAGCTGAAGAATTTTTAAACAAAAAATATCTAGCTGTTTCCTTCCAAAAGCACTCATTGGTGACTTAAGGATATCCAAGCGCTTTGATCATCTTTTTTTGATGAAGTACTTTTCTATATTCATAGTTAACTATCAGTGCTTTCATTTGAGCCCCATTTGTAATTTATTCAAAATTTCATTCTCCATTTTAAACCATTGGAAAACATTTGAAAAAATTCTTTGAAAATCCTGAATTTTCTGCGTGAATATTTCTGAAATCGTTGAAAACCTGCAATTTTCGAAGATTAAGATTTTTCTTCATCAATGATTTATAAACAATTCTTCACTCAAAATGATAAGTAAATTGATCGGTATTCAGAATGCCACCTGGAATAAACTTCATCCTAAAAAATAAGGTTCTCAAAAGTCCAATCATTTTCCATTATTCAGTTATGATAAACGAATGTTGAAAAAAAGTCATCTAATAATAGGATATATTTTAAAAAAATTCTCAAACAATTGGATTAATAAATTAATTAGATTAACTGGATCAGAAACTATAAAAAAAATACTTGGATATTCTTAATTGCACAATTACGTGGATTTAAGACATAAACTCAAATACTTTATTTCGGAATTCCACAAAAGCCTCATTTACCTAACTTATTAATCGTCAGGACCATCTTCTCGATTTCATCAGGACAAATATCAGGACAATGAGTGAACCCAAAGTAAATCAGCATCCACTGTCCCAAGAAGTCCTCAGACTTAACAAGCTGTCCTTTGGGATCAATCAAATCAAATCGTCCCCCAATTTTTGCCTTTCCAATTGTCCTCCTGCGTTCCCGCTCGAGCATCAAATCCTTCTCCTCCTTCAAGTAGTACAGATAACCCAGAAATCCACAGCCAATGGCTCCACCAATGAAGAAGCTCTTCCAAGTAATTGGGGATTGCTTCAGCTTCCACATTTTGGGCTTTGGAAGAGTGCTGTTTGTCGGTGGCTCTTTAGCCTCCTGCATGAGTATCCTTGAGATACTGTACTGTCGAGTCTGATGGAGCGTGAAATCAACGGATTAAAGTAGTACGAACACAGCTTGATTCTAAAGATTATTAAAAATTGCCAGTCATTTCTAGGGAACTAGATTAGATTCGACCGCTCAGTTTTTTTATTAAGGTGTTTCGGTTAAAAAGTTAAAGTAATGAAAAAAAAAATGGAAAATTCATGGAAAAAATTTCTAAGTATGCAGCATAATTGAGAATTCTTGCACATTTTTTTCAAATCGCAGTTTCAAGGAAAAAAATAATGAAATTTGAATGTTTTTGTAACCCCTCCAGCTATAACTTCCGAGGTTGCCCCACTCTCAAATAGGGAACTTTCCATGGCACCCAAAAAAATAATGAACTATTGAGGAAAAACTAGTGGGTGATAAATTAAATCTTTCTTGAGAACACGCACAAGTTTCAGATTTTTTTCACATTTCATAAAAAAGTTATTTGAACAAATGATTCGGAAAATTATGAGTTTTGGGGCAATTACGCCCTCACGCGCAGGCACGTGGTTCGAATGTCATCAGTGAGCATCATGGGAAAGGTATGGGTTGGACCATGGAACCGAGAGAGAAAAAACATTCGACAGGTTTACCAACTCGAGACGCATTTTAATATCATTTCAATAATTAGAAAAACATCCAATAAAAATTATTTGTCCCCGTAGGTGATGAGAAAAAATCAATCAATCTGATAAATAACATCAATATTCAAAAAATGTTCAAATGCACACTTGAATAGTGACTTGAAAATTGGAAAATCTCGTGGTCAGCGATTTAATCAGGGCTCGAGACCAATAAGACTCCCCTTCCGTTTCACCCCCCGGTGATCTGCAGACGAAACACCTTAAAAGAGGACACTACTGAAATTTGAAGTCCTACCATAACAAAATGGCCTCCGTGAGATCTTTCTCACATGTGTAGTCACTGAAAAAATATATTTTGACGAACCTACACCCATTGTCTATTCACCTTGATATTCCTTCTCATATTGGCTTCAATTTTAAAACATCGAGGTGTGTTTATTCTACTTCAAGTCTTCAAGTTTAGCGGTCGCTTTCTAGATGAGTGAGAATTTTTTTTTTATGAAAATTAAGTGGAAATACCGACGATGCGGAGGATCCGGGTTCGCTTCCCGGCTGCGTCGCTAAATTTTCTGACACGCTCAATCTCACAGTTTTATTGTCGAACGGGAGTCTCGTAAAACAGACGACTGTACTTGGGCAGGTTTTTCCCTCAAGTGAGGTTTTCCCTCGTTCTTCGGCGAATGCGGTACAGGTGGGTTGGGGGGTGCGATAAATCGTAAAAATCCGAGAGAGTACACGAAAGGGAAAAAATCAAGTTGAAGTCAGCAAGAGAGTGTCCTATGGCTCCTACGACATCTGCACTGATCATCAAATCATTTTTATTTATCTCAAGAGAATTTTTTTTTCTTGTCTATAGATTTAAATTAACACTCCACACGGAGAGAAGAGCCATGGGAAAGAGCCCCATGTCAAATTTACGACTTGTATGTATTTCTAAAATTTACATTTTTCATGATTTTTTTATGCACTTCCAATGTTTACGGAGAAAATTATTTGGTGAATTTCAACTAGTTATTGAATTTCAATAACCAGTTGGAGAAACATAACAACTAATTAATTAATTTTGAATTCTTAATAACGAAATTACCTGAAATTTCAATGGGAAAAAAAATTCAAAGAAGTTTACGGGAAGTTTCAGCCAAAAATTTTCAACACTATTATTTATGAAAAGCAACCAGGTTGAACCTCTAATTCAATCATATAACAATTTCAATCAATTTTGACAACCAAAGTAGCCGATAAGGGCATATACATATTTGGAAACAATCGCGCAATCATTTGTATCTTGATAATGGTCAATGTCTCGTTTAGAAGTTGGTTTTACAATAATCTACAATTTGTTGTTAAATTTGATCCTTCAAAAAAATTAATGAACATTCATCGAAAATTTAACAAATGATTGTCCGATGAAATTGAAAAATCTTTTCTATAGTTCAATAAATTAGTCGGTAAATTTGTTGCAATTTCCTAACTAATTGAAATTCAACAACTAGTTGGTGAAATTCACCAAACAATTTTCTCCGGGTTTCAATATACTAGCGAACACTAATATACTAGATTATATTATATTATATTAATTTATTTTATTGTTTTCTTTCCAATTTTTCTTTGCGGTTAGATTAAATTAAATTTATTGGATTCTAATCCCATTGTAGTATACAAATTGTGGGAACAGTGTTTCTCATTTTCAATTGAAGAGATATTTATGTTAAATAATAAGGAGAGTATTGATACTTTTTTTGGGATGATGATCTATATATTTTTCACAATTACATATTGTTCAAAAATTTCTTTATGTACTACATTTTTCAGATAACTATTTCCATCTTTTTCATTTTTTATGCTACCTCCTTCATTTTTTTTAGATGCCGAAAAAATATCAATATGTTCCCTTTCTATGATCTAATTTCAATGGAAGAAAGTGAAAAAAATAGAGATACGTGATCAGTAAGAAAATAAAAATTTCGATTTTTCAATGTCTCCGGAAAGTTTTAAAATTGATATATTTTTTCAAATAATGGAAGAATACAAATCAATTCAATTTCTACCCTCACATTTTGATAGAATACATTAAAAAAATAGCAAAGAATAAAAATCGGAGATAAAAAATTTGATCGGATTAATATAATGTAATAATATATTCATGACGTAACGCGCAACGAGAGTGATAAATGAGAATTAATTCGAGTTCCGTGGAGCGCAAACATTCTGAGATACTATCCATTAAGAATAATTTATTTCTCTGAAGCCAATATGGTCTACATATTCGGAATTTTTTCTCTCAGCGTATGTATTGAAAAGGAACCTGTTCGCTTGAAGATAGAATCGATTATAGTACTAAAATAACGCACTGTCACAGTAGATTCTGAATTCTTCTGGAAGACATATCAAGGCATTTATTAAATGCTTATCAAACCAGATCAGTTATGTAAATCGAACAGCAGTTGATAATTCATAAAATTTAGTCGAGTACCGAGCGCCTCATTTGGTTCAAGATATCTCATTCCAATAAAATGATTTGTTTGTATTAATTCTTCATTCTCCTTTTCAAACACGAGCAGGTGAACCGCCGAAAACCATCACTCATACACCCATCACTCCCAAAAAACTGACAGACAGCATATGTCGGCTAATGAATTCACAATACACGTGCACAGTGTCTGTTTGTCTGTCTATTGTCCAAGAGGAGCTTGCGTAGAAAAAAGCCCGAAGGCGAAGAGGAAAACATTCGCTCAGACAACTCCGGTATCAGCACGTGGTCGTGCGTTAGAACATAAGTTGTATGTAAACAGCTGTCAATAGTATTATTAGAGCGAGCTCTTATAGGGGTTTATCTGAAGTTTTGGCTGTGGTATTGGCTGTACCATTATTGATTGACGTTGTGGAGAATTGGCCCAGACGTGAAATCCCACGTGGCCTTGATTGGCGATCGCCGTGAGTACCTATTATATTTCCCTTCCTCCCAGTGATAATTTCCCTACATTGATTCCTCTCCTGAACCTCTTTTCAGGTACTAGTTATTAATTTAAAAATAATTCCTCGGTTATAGGGTATATAACGCTACACATTTCAGGAAGAAGTTACAGTCAATTTTACAAGGATGCCACTCGAAAATTAAGCCTTCCTCGTATTTACACACCATGAAACTACTGAACTTTCTGGTTGTCCTCTTTTGTGTATTCTGTACCGTCGTCTCACAGATGAGTAAGTGGATATTCGACGATTTTACCATATTATCAAAATCACATGATTCCATCTTGCCAAGCTTTTCAATGGAATGCATCGATTGAGGTTCATAAGAGGTCAATTTTCATTAATTATTTTTAAATCTAGAGGACTGCAAGGGGAGAACTGATAAAAATGTTGACATGAAAAATTCTCCATAGCCGTACAGTTCTGCAATTCTTTCTCGGTTTTTCAACAAATGTTGGTATTTCAGGGTCTCTAGACTCCTTTTCAATCATTTCCAGAATATGTCTGTATGTGTGTCTGTTAGAGATGTGAGTAATAAAAACCAACTTGACATGCGATTCAAGCTCCTAAAAAATCACACCATGTGGGCTGACTTGAAATTGTTATAAATTTGTTTTTATCATTTTATCTTCATAATTTCCGTTTTTACGTCAGTTTTTCTTAATTGCATTCAGAACCTCAATGTCTTCATTGCTTGTCACTCAAACTGATGCTCAAAAATGAAAAGTTAATCAGAGGGAATTCTCTCTCCAATACGTGTTCAAAATTGAAAAATTGATACTGATTTTGTTTTTTAGGCTATCCATCTATATCGAGATGGCAATGCTTCCTAAAGTGTAGATATCAGAAGCGTACATTAAACGTGGAGATGTTTGAAATTGGTCGTTGTTTGTGCGAAGAGTAAGTTAATGAATTTCAACCATCGAAATACAGTCAACAATTGAATATGAATATCCTAATTTTCAGTTAGTCTTCGAATCAGGGAGTTCTCTACCCAGATTAAGGATCAATTCCTGGGACGACATAGAAAATGATCAATTTCGTCCAATTTCAGACTTTCGTAAAATTAACAAATTGGAATTGTGATGAGCCGAATTATTGAAATGGACAAGACTGTTTTATATGATTATAAACAAAAATTGTAATTCATCCAAATGATAAGAATTGTATTTCCGGCATAAAATGAAAATTTCCTCGACGAATTCATGTTGAAACTAAATTGTTTTTTAAACCGGAGTGAAAGATTTAAAAGGTTATGGAATTGTTGTAATTAATTGAGTATAGAACTTGAATAAAACAAAAGAACTTGCACTGCTTAAGAATATATGAGTACTGTTTTCCCTTAATGAACCCTGGCAACTGAAGCACAGAAGAGTATTGATTGTGTTAGAATTTTTTTAATTTTTTTGCGGCGCGAGCCACAAATAAATTATTATTTCGAAATTCATGTAACGCGTCTCGAATATTCTATATCGTCGTATTCGAAACAAACATCATTCTATCCTTGTCCCTCACGAAATTTCTGAACAGTTCTCGAACCTTCCATAACAAAAGGTATTGAAACCCGCACACGCTCCCGACCAAATATAT